GAATTAGGGATGTAGATAGTGTCCTGAAGCTTCACCAGAGCCTCGTCACCCTTTGGATGTCTGGCGACGATGTGAGCTTCTCCTCGACCTTGAATCGACATAGTGCTGTTGCCGAAACCTGAGACAGTGCCAGAGTTTCTGGGCGAACAGGAAGCGAAGTCGGTGCGAATGGAATGAATATGGGAACTCATTCCAGAGTCTATGATGGTGCTCGGGCTCGTACACATGCTCGATGTTGGCGCTTAAGCGAGTTTGATACGCTTGGATAAGCAAAAGCGTGGGAAGCGCCACATGGTGGCAACGCGCTTTACAAGACGCTTGAATCTGCTGTGGCATACGGGACGCGCTTGGACCTTAGAATATACTTATATATACGCAATGCACTCTGTAGTATCGACATCGAATTCAGTCTACGTTCACATCCCTTGTACATCCGCCCTCTAGTCTAACCGACTACACAAGACTAACGCGTTATCTAATCAACAGGTTATGAGCCCGCGCTCGTAGTCTACTCACGGAAAGTACCTCAGATCTCATCAAGATCTACACCTCCCATTATCATGTCCAGCCCCGACTCCGCCTCTCTGTGCCGGATCGAGCCGCTCCACGGCGACAATTACCCTACCTGGCGCATCAAGATGCAAGACGTCCTGATGTTCGGCGGGCTGTGGGATTACGTCGATGGTACCTTGACCGACCCGACGGCCGAACCCACGCCACCGGCTGATGCGCCCACAGACAAGGGAGCACCCGCAGCGAAGGCGGCCCGGGCGGCCCCAGCAGAGCTGTGGCGCCGCAACAATCAGCTCGCGCTTTCGCAGATCCGTCTGCGGGTCGCGGACATGCATATCGTGTATGTTGCGAGTTGTACCACTGCAGTGGAAGCCTGGAAGGCTTTGGAAGAAATGTTTGCCACCCGTGGCCCAATGGCCCTGGTCACCGCCCGCCGGAACTTTTTCCGAGCTGAGTGCGACGATGACACGCCCATTGAGGATCATATTCGCACTGTGAAATCATATCTCGCCGAAATTCATCGCCTTGGTTCTACCTCTATTGACGACGGCGAATTTGCAATCACGCTCCTCACGTCCCTACCGGAATCCTGGAACACTTTCATTCAGTGTGTTGACACAGCGACCCTTACCTCATCAGCGCGTCTTATCTCCCGTATCCTTGAGGAAACGCGGCGCCGCTCGGCCAAAACTACTGACTCCGCGTTCTTGGCCCGAAAAGGCAAAACCCGCTCCCGCGCCACTTGCACCAATTGTGGCAAGCGCGGGCATGCGAAGGAAGCCTGCTGGGCAAAAGGGGGAGGTGCGGAGGGACAAGGCCCCAAGAGTGCATCCGCTCATATTGCCCGCGAGGATGAGGAATACGCATTCCCCGCCATCGAACAACTCTTTTCGCCTAACACCACCGCGTCCGACGCCACTGACGAACACGTGGGCCAACCCGTAGAATGGGTATACACAGCTCGCATCTCCGGCTCACGTGCCTGGTTCCCTGATAACGGCGCCTCCACTCACATTGCAGTAGCCCAAAGTGATTTCGAAACGTATACCGCGGGCAATTTCGGCAATATCACGGGAATTGGAAATGCCTGCCCGATTATCGGCCGCGGCACGGTACGCCTCAGATGCAAAGTCGGCACCGCTTACAGCACCCTAACCCTACGAGACGTCGCCCACGTGCCATCGGCCCCAAGCAATCTGTTATCACTTTGCAAGGTCGACGACGCCGGAGGACATTACATTGGTGGCGGCGGCAAATTGGAAATTACCGACTCCACTAAAACAAAGGTTCTCGCAGTCGCTCACAAGAAGCGGGGCCCTGGGCAACTATACGTTCTAGACTGCGAAGTTACCGCCCCGGAACATTCCGCACACGTGGCAATCCAGAAACGCTCCTGGCAAGAGTGGCACCGGATTCTCGCGCATATCAATATGCGGGCTGTCAAAATGCTCAAGGACAAAGACATGGTCCTGGGCATGGAAATCGACACCGCATCTGACTTCAATTGCCAGTGTGAGGCCTGCATCAAGGGGAAACAACACGTCGAAGCTTATCCGGACGGACCCACTTCACCGGTCCAGGAAGTTGCCGAGCTAACCGTATCGGACGTCTGGGGACCCGCTCCCGTGATCGGTATCAATGGCGAAAAGTATTTCGTCACCTTCACGGACGTCAAAACCCGCCGCTCTGTGGTCTATTTTGGAAAAACCAAAGATGTCATTTGCGAGCATTTCGACCATTACCGGGCGTTCATCGAAACACAGACCGAACACAAAATGAAACGTTTTCGTGTCGACAACGGCGGTGAATACATCAATAAGGAATTTATTGCCAAACTTCAGTCCCTCGGCATTATCCTCGAAACCACTGCCCCGCACTCGCCGGCCCAAAATGGCATTGCCGAACGCCTGAACCGGACCCTAGTCGAGCACGCACGCGCCATGATGCTTGCCCATGCCTTGCCCAAATTCCTTTGGCCCGAAGCCATCGCCTACGCCTGCTATATCAAAAATAGATCTCCCACCAAACCCCTAGGCGATAAGACTCCCGAAGAAGCGTTCACACGGCTAAAGCCGGACTTCTCCATGCTTCGGGAATTCGGCTCTAAGTGCTGGGTGCTTGATCAATCCAACGACCGACGGAAGCTAGATCCGAAGTCCCGACCCGTGGTGTTCGTGGGAATGGCCGATAGCTCGAAAGCGTGGCGATACTGGGACAAAGAGAAACGGCGCATCGGAAAGTCCAGGAACGTCGTATTCGAGCAATACATACCACTGCTCGACGTTCCCGTCCCCTCTGCCGTGATCGAGGGGGAGTTACCACCATCAAGCGATCACTCACAGAACGAGCCCACTACCGAGCAAACCACAACTCGCACCAGAAAGCCGCGACCACTACCTCCACCTCGCGAACCCAGCAAACGGATCGCTAACCTACCAATCACCAATTACCACACGTTGGAAAAAGTCCCGAACAATGCGCCATCGATCCCAATCAGACGATCAATCAGAGATCGATGATCACGCCCACATTGCCTTTTTAGGACAAGACGAAGAAGAACCTTCAACGTACCAACAGGTGCTCAACAGCGATCATCAAGAAGATTGGATCAAAGCCATGGATACCGAAATAGAACAGCTACGGTCTATGAAGACATGGGAACTAGTAGAGCTGCCCCCGGACCGGAAGGCAGTAGGCAGCAAATGGGTATATCGTGTAAAATACGATGCCGCCGGAAACCTCGTCAAACACAAAGCTCGGCTAGTCGCCCAAGGCTTCTCACAGATCCCGGGCATCGATTACAAGGAAACTTTCTCCCCCGTAGTACGACTCGAATCGCTCCGAACCATACTGGCCATAGCCGCAGTCTTCGATCTCGAAGTGGAACAGCTCGACGTCGTGGGAGCTTACTTAAACGGTGTCCTAAAAGAGGACATCTATATGAAACAACCACGTGGCTACGAAGACGGTACCAATCGAGTATGCAAGCTTCTCAGAACCTTATACGGACTTAAGCAGGCCGGGCGGGAATGGCACGAAGTATTGGAGAAATTTCTGATCGCCCGAGGATGGAAGATCATTAGCGCGGAACCATGCATCTACAGACGCGATACGGACGGAGGCCCCAGTTTTATCGCGGTACACGTTGACGATCTCACCGCCGCCGCGAAAACCACCGCCCTTATCTCACAACTCAAAAGCGAGCTGAAAGCCAAATTTCAGATGAGTGAACTCGGGCCGATCAAGCACATCCTGGGCATCGAAGTAGTCCGCGATCGTCAACAGAAAATTCTGCAACTATGCCAGCGCGCCTACATAGACAAGGTACTAGCCCGTTTCGGAATGGACCAATCAAACCCAATAGCGACACCTATGGACGAAGGACTACAGTTGACCAAAACGCCGGACGACAGAACATACCCAGAAATGGCAAACATTCCTTATCGAGAAGCGATCGGATCACTAATGTACCTCGTTGTCGGCACAAGGCCCGATATCGCCTACGCGGTCCAGACCCTCGCTCAATTCTCGCAGAATCCTGCACCGGAACACTGGACCGCGGCCAAACGCATCTTACGATACCTAAAGGGGACACGCGATCTCGCCTTGGCTTACGATGGAAAGATTGTGGGTATACAGCCGATCGGATACTCAGATTCAGACTGGGCCGGAAACATCAATGACAGACGCTCCATTGGAGGAAATGTTTTTCTATTAGCAAAAGGTGCAATATCCTGGTCATCCAAGAAACAGAAGTCCGTCGCACTCAGCAGCACAGAAGCGGAGTATGTCGCACTAGCGCTGGCCGCCAGTCAGGCCGTGTGGCTGCGCGCCCTATTTTTGGAATTAGGCTTCCCACAGGAAAAGGCGACAATTATCTACGGCGACAACAACGGTGCTCGGGCTCTGGCACACAACCCTACCGATCATAGTCGAGCGCGCCATATCGACATCAAGTACCATTTCATCCGCGAACACGTCCTCGAGAAAAGGGACATCGAAATCGAACGAGTACCCGGGTCAGACAATCCTGCCGACATCTTTACGAAAGCGCTCGGCCGACTGAAGTTCCAAGACTTCCGCGATAAGATCGGACTACGCGCGTTGAGGGGGAGTGTTGGCGCTTAAGCGAGTTTGATACGCTTGGATAAGCAAAAGCGTGGGAAGCGCCACATGGTGGCAACGCGCTTTACAAGACGCTTGAATCTGCTGTGGCATACGGGACGCGCTTGGACCTTAGAATATACTTATATATACGCAATGCACTCTGTAGTATCGACATCGAATTCAGTCTACGTTCACATCCCTTGTACATCCGCCCTCTAGTCTAACCGACTACACAAGACTAACGCGTTATCTAATCAACACTCGAGATGTAGGTCGAGTCTCCTGAGCAAGAGGAAATGGTTGGAGGTGATGAGGAGGCTGAGGTGCTCACTGGTTCACTCGGAGAATAAGCAGAAACAACAGTAACATAAGCTTTCTCCTCAACGACAAGATGAGATATCGTCGGAATCACTTTCCTCTCCATCTTCAGCAACATGGGCTTTCTCCTTGCCCCTCTTCTTCCCTCGATGCTTCTTCTTCGACCCCTGCTCCTCCTTCCCCCTCCAGGAGACCAACAGTCCTTCATCTCTGTTAGCAGCAGGCAGAACAGGGAAGAATAAGATGGGTGGCCATAAGCACACCAGGCCCAGACACATACACAAACCGAAGGCAAGGTCAATTGCATGGACTAAGGAACAAAGGAAATACAGTGGCTCAGTACATAGTCAAGCTGTTTGTACCTATTTGTCCCAGTGGCTCTGCATCCAATACAACCAAAACCTAAAAATCTCATGCCCCTCCCGCTTACAGTTGTGACAGAAAGCCTTGCCACGATGGCGAGCATCCCGAATCTTAGCAGTGAGAGTGTTCTCACCTCTCCACCGAGTTCAGCCAGACTGGCTCGGGATCACTTACCTTGTGGTTCCGCCGACTCGTCTGGCCCATGCCCGTGGATGGCGACCCTGCCGCCCATGTTACGTCCTATCAAGAAGCTGTCAGCCATCTCGCTACCACTGGCTTCGACATTCCTGCTTTTGTTACTGCCGCCATTCTTCTTTCCACTCTACCATCTGAGCCTGGTGACCCGGATTCTTGGAACCAGTTTGTCGCCGGCATCAAGATCAACAAGACCACCACTCTCTCCACCATCGTCAATGCTATCTTGGAGGAGAAGCGTTGCCATACTGAGCCTTCTGTCGAGGGTCAGTCAGGGCTGACCACATGAGATGCGACGTACTCAGGTTCGCAACCTTCACGAGGATCCCATTGTCGATCGCATTTAAAAGCATCGCCTGAGCGGCACTGTCCTTTGTGTCCCAATCCTCCTGGCCAGCCTCATCTGTATCTGGAGGACACACCATAGTCCCCTGTACCACATCCAAAACCTGGGCGTACGTAAACACTGCAATCATCCTCTTGCTCCAGACAAAATACCCCCCTTCATTCGCGAGACGCATGTCCTGAGTACCCGGGACTAACGCCTGGCTACCATGGGGCAAAGTCCAGCGCTGACAAGTCTCCGAGGGCATTGGAGTAGTCGAGCAAGATGAGTGGGTCGATGAAGTTGAGCCAGAATGGGGTCGAGGTGTGTCGGCAGGAGATGGTGGTAATGGCATCTCCAATGGGCTAGTAGACATGCAACTATGACAGACTTGCCGTTGTAGGAGCTAGACCAACTAGATAGAG